GAAAGCTTTAAAGACATGAAAGGAAAGCGAGTGGTGAGGATGGTTTGGACATGCGGCCATGGGTAACACACCCTGGACAAGCATGCCCACAACACGGCGCAAGCTCGATGGTGGCGAATCTCAACAATGGGCGTGAGAAGGCAGTGACTAATCAAATGAGCAAGGAGTCCAAGAACAGACAACAACGATGAACTTGTTTCAATTGTCGTCGATTTAGGTTCGCCAATGCCAAGAAAAACCTTCATAATCAGTATTTGAGAGTTGGTTCAAAAGAAGTTCCTTTTCTTCTTGAGAATTTTCGTGTACTGATACGCACGAACGGAATGAAGACACAAACTAAAACTTCAGTAACGATGGAGATATGAACTGATCTGAATGAGATTCTATCTCTCATGTAATTAATCGGTGAAGTAGTGAGCTCGACAATGAAGCCCAATTTAAGAAAATAAAAATAAAGTTATCAAATAAGAAATTGACTGGTTTTCAAAAGCCAATCGTAAAGCTCTTTAGGTTCTGATACCATGTTAATTAATAAGAAAAGAAAATAATTCTTACTTATTCTTTAAAGAGTTGATACAAGGATATAAATAGCAGCTACAGCTATCAAGAAGAAGTACAAATATAATTTAACACTTTCCTATCACAACAAGTAAACCCTAACCTATTAAAACACTATAGGAAATTAAAAGATAACAAATATAATTTAACATAAACATATGAATACATGAACAGAAAAATAATAACTCCGTCAAGCAAATCAGTAAATCCAACTCATAATATCTAGTGACTACCTCAATCCCTAGAACGAGAAATTTAGCTAATCCCATAGAAATTACAAAAAGTCAAGGGCAAGGAGAAGAAATTAACATCTTCGAGTCAATAGTCCACCTTTGAATATATCATCATGATCCCGAGCCTAGACAATTCCTTCTCTTAGCTCTTCGATGATCTCTTTGCCTTAAATTTTTAGTAAAAACTACTTTGTTCTCTCTCTTCAATTCTCTTTCTGCCCTTGTGTGGTGCAGAAACCATACTTTGATAAAAGATCCACACTAGTGCCATGGCATTGTCTCAATTTAAGACGAACTCCTAAAATTCACAGTGCCATGGTGCTACAAGTGAGCATTGTGGCACTGCTCTCTCAGAATTTGGACTTGCGTTGGTGCTGGCTGCAGGCGCCATGGCTTCTCATGGTAGCACCATGATGCTTCCACCTCGAATGCTTGTTTCTTCATCCTACAAGCGTCAAGACACTGTTCTTTCAAGTGATAGGCTCACGGTTCCTCTGTGTCATCCTTATCACACATTTATACTCTAATTTCTCCCCAAATTGAAGTCTTTGATTTCCCTCTAATGTTTCTTTCCTGTAAAACACTCACTTATGCTAATAAATCTGACATAAATAACATGAAAACTAACAAAAATTAAGTTATAAACCTCCTAAAACATAGAGAGGACTTAATGGGAGTATTTCACAATGTTGGAGGGATATTATTAGTTCCTGCCTTGGCCTTCAGCCGGTGTTTCAGTAACGTGTAAAAGATTTTAAACTTCAAGTGTTGTGTGGCCATCCTTTTAAAGATAAATCCATGACTTTGGAGCCTAACGCTTTGGAAAATTTAGTTGGAGAGAAATAGGATGATCTTTCAAGTATTTGATAGGAACTTCTTGAATATGTCGAGTTTCGTTGCCTCCTCTTGCCATGCCCTAGATTTTTTTTTTGTTATTACTCCTTTTTTATCAATGCCACTTGGAGATTGTTTCTGTAATCTTCATTGTTTTTTTGTTTAGGAGGATACCTTATCTTCCCCTTTTTCCTTTTTACATGATTCCTCTTGAATGATGTTGTCTTTTATTTCCCTAAAAGAAGCTCAAGTTTCGTATCTTTTGCATATATGTGTATATTTCCATAGACTTCGCTCGTGATTATATTGTTTATTGATAGTTATGAGGACGTACTACTTCCATTGGGGTTTAAGGCCGTACTGATCGAGGACAATGAACTGGCCATCCCGCCTCGCAAGGTAGTATAATAACTTCTTCAGTAATAGGGATTTCAATCTTTGGGGTACATATTTTACCTTGTTACTTCAGGTAATGCTTGATCAAATATGCAGTTCACACTGAGCATCATTTGGGTTTATTTGAATGTGATGTACTGAGTGGTTTTTCTTAAGAGTAAAGTTCCATTGAGAAAACAACAATAATTTTTTTTTTTCTTGATATAGGTACAACAATAATTAAATGAAAAGTAAACTACTACATTTGAATTTTATAGCTTAGTTTCGAAATATGTAACATTAGGAATGTTCAATAATCGAAGGAAACTTTGTTACAGGGACGAGAGATGATTGGAAGGTGGAAGAGGAGTTTAACACAAGCTTCACTTTAACAAATTTCCATTCATTCACAAACTTGAAGCAGCTAAAAGTGTACGACTGTTGGGATGTTGATGTCATCCATTTGAAAAGAAATTGCAAATGTTTATGTTGGCGACCATGGAAATATGCAAATGGTGTGTACAGTAAGTAGTGTGTCTTTTATTTTTTTAGAATGAGGATAACGTGTAATCAAGGTTTTAAATGTCAATGTCGAGATAAATGGGGAGGTCTTAATTTCATAGAAATATCGATAAAATGTCAATACCGATAGATATTTTTTAAATAAGTTATAAAAATAAGAAAGTCGTAATAATTATTTAAATGTGACACGGGGGAAAAGTCGATTTTCCCCATGGCATCGACATGTCAAGATGTCGACGAAATGTTGACATCTCTTTTTTTTTTTTAGGTTATTTCATTTTCATTTTCTTCCTACTATGYCACTACAATCTATAATTTCTCACAACCTTGATGATTGTAATCTTAGTTTGTTCAATGCATCATCAATACTGTATAAAGTATAACTAATAAGATTTAGAATTTGCTTAATTGATAATTTATAATCCAATCTAGTCTTTAGTTACAAAATTGAATCAATATATGTGAAATATTGTCATATATAAAGATTAAACTAATCTTAGAAATTTTAAAAATAAAATATTATTATATACAAATAGTGGTGATACATGAAAATTCAATACATAAAGTGGAATAGGTAACTTAATTAATACCAAAAAGATGATATCGGAGGACCTAGTGCACTATCTTGAGAACTTTAATATAAATTACAATAATCCTCTCAGGTCATCCGAGATTGAAAGTTTTGAACGTAGTTGCTCAAATGACTTGAATATGACTCATATGAAGCACATATGGATCCCGTTGGTAGATAATTTTGATGAATGACACAATCACGAGGTTGTGATTGAGGGTGATAGTCATAGCCATAATTTGAGTGAATTAGAAATGTGTTTGGAAATTGTGTAAATTTAATTGGAAAGTTGGATTAATGATTAATTTGAAAATGTGTTTGAAAAATGTGTAAATTCAAATTTGAAAAGAGAAGTAGGTAAAAAGTAAAAAGGTACGAGTTAATTAGAATTTAGAAATGTGTTTGGAAATCAAGTCGATAATTATCTCATTTTCAAATGAATCTTATTATGAAAGACAGTAGTCAAAAATTTACAATTAAAGTTTACTTTRCATATTCAAATCATTTCCATCGATTTTCAATAAAGAAAAAAATCTTTTTTTGATATTTCCATCGACGTTAACATTTTCATAAGTAAAATAGTCATATTCTTACATTTAAAAATTAAATGTGATCAATTATAGGCTAATTAAGCTACAATTGAATTTTATTTGCTAATTCAAAAAATTTCCATCAATTTTCACAATTTTCATAAATTTTTTCTGAAATATTTAGTCGACATCGATATGTCCATAAAATCAGAGTATTGATATTTTCATCAACATCGACATTTTGAACATTGGGTATAATCCTGCGAATGAATTTTTAGCTACAGAGAGGTGGCAGACACTAACCTCGTATTAAACAAACAAGTTGATTAATTGTAAATATAGTAAAAAAATTTGGATTTGAAAATATAGTAGTGATAGTCATTTGATAGACTAAATCATTGGTAGATATCACTGATAGACTATATCAGTGTTGGTCTGATTGACTATATCATTAATAGACTATCATTGATAAATTATACAATTGATAAATGTTTATCACTAATCTATCAATGATATTGACAAATGTTTTATCATTAGCCTACTTAAAAATATACTATATCAATATCATATCTACCACTCATAGATATAAATAAGGGAAATATAAGGGTAAAAAATGAATTACATAATAATGTTTAAATAGGTGTGCGAAAAATTAAAAAAGAATCATGAAATCATAATTATGTAGCTATATTTAACGTATTGAGTTGTCACTTATTGAAGAGAGAATCAAAATAAAAGAGCCATTTTTTTCTCCGAGTTGATTTCTCATTTTTCTTTTTATGTATTGTATATAGGTAGAACACTTGATAAATGCAATAAATATCTTTTACTAACCGATCAGGTATCTTCTTTGTTTCTTGAAAAAAGATTCACCATTATATATCTCCTAGTTGTATTGTTAAAAATATAATGTTGATCAATAAGAGATATATAGATCATTCAATCCTTAAAGTATTATTGATGTAACTATGAACAAATTATTTGATTAAAGATCGATGTCTTAACGAATTGAACTAAGTTCTTGTTACTTGTTGGAACACTTGTTAAGACCAAACTTTTGTTTAAGGTATGCCAAGCAATCGTTGGATACAATGTGAATACTAAAACTTTTATTTAACTACTTATTTACTTCTTTTTAAGGTATGTCAAGCAATTGTTGGATAGAATGTTCAAACTTTAACATTTTTTGCATCGACTCTTATACGAAAACATAAGGATATGTCATTGTGTTCGTGTCGTGTCTTATGTGCATGCCGGATAGCTGAAAATAAAACAAAATGAAATAATAGTACCAATGTAAGGAGGGAGTGATAGAGGGTGTTGATGAAGTCAGGAGATGTTAGCATTTTTGAGGGAGGTGGAGGTGACGAGGCCAGCGGAGGTCCGCATTGGATGGGGACCCAACACAACAATGCAACAAGAATCTGTCTTCAGATGAGGCTGCACCGTTTCCCATGTTTTCTTCTTCTGAATCTGTGGAAAAGTTTTTGTAACAATAAGCTATAACCTCCACTCTCAATATTATATCTAATGTAATGCAGCAGCACAAATTACACACCTGATTGCCCATTAATCACAACAGGTGTCTATAATTGCAACCGAAATACAGTTACTGTCGATTGACCAAGTTAAGTTTTTGAAGAAAGAAATAGATTCAAACTCTATGGTGGCTACATATGCAGAACATGAAGATCTTATAGATTTGTTGACAACCAAATGTTGTAAATTTTGGTATAATGAGAGAGTAATGTTAGAAGGAAAAAATAATTAATAAATAGGATAACCTAAAGAAGACAATGTTTTTAAGATGCAAGTTCTTCGAGCCAGAAGATACGAACTTCTTCTTTCTGACAAAAAGTGATCTCACATTACAGAATTGAATTGTTCTAATTTTTTTTTTTACTTTTTGTAAATATTTTCTAAAATTAGGTTAGAAAATTATGAGTTCAGTTGTGTAACGTTTGCAAGTAAGATTAAAATCACATAATTAAACATAAGAACTGAACATCCACAGTGTGAGAATATATCCTGAAGAATATATTTACTAATTATAAGCTCGTCTCATTTTTTTTTTTTTTTGGTTAAGAAAAGGCTTATACATTAAAAAAAATAAAATATAAAAAAAGGACCAATAGTCTCAGACAAAGTAGTTTTTCAAGACAGACGAGCAACCATTACTTGTCTGCGAAAAGAATGGCCCAAGGGAGGAAGAAATGTCTATGGGGTATTAGCCATGCATGTACCTTAAGCTAATCCACGTAGGGAGTTCAAGCGAGCTAAGGCTAGAGCCAAGGATGTGAAAAGTTGGTTGAAAACAATAGCAAACTCAAGAATTGGCTTCTAGTGTAATTCTAATCTTGATAAATGGTATTGTTGAGATGTAACTTGGCTAGAGCCAAGACAAGACAAGGCCTTATCAACGTACCTATGGCAAGCAAGCACCTTCAATAAGGCACTCGCCATTTGTGCCTTTTAGTCACCACAAATGTATTTTCAAGGCGACACTAGCACTCGCCTTCACAAAAGAAGGCTCTTCCTCCTCAATTCTGCTTCCATCTTTCAATTCTTCCTCTTCAATTCTATGATTAAGAAGAATCATAGACCAAAACCAAATAAGAAGAATTAAAGAAGAGGAACCAGAGAAGTCACCTCTCGTGTATGCTGATAACTCTCCATAAGAGAACTATTTTAGGAGAAAAATGTGCCTCGGAGAGATAAGAAATTGAACAAGTTAGCTCTAATCATGAATGTTCTAGACCTAATATATGATCATTCAAAGGAGAACTTCATTTGTGTTTAATGTTGTTGAATATTATGAAAAGTCTCTGATCTTGAACGTTTTGCAGTAGCAAAGTTGATGTTGGAACATTGGAGCTAAATTTGGAAAAAGTGAGTTGGCAGCGACAGTTGAGTTACTCGAGGATTTACTACACTAAAATGGAAAATCACCTGAATCATGTGCTAGGCCCCACTTTATACAATTTGTTGCCTTAAAATTGAGGACAGATATATATGCTACATTCAAGGCTGCCTCCATATGATTCATTCATCAATCCCAAAGTAAGACAAGACACAAAGGAGAGAAGATTCTTACTGTTGGGAAAAAAAATATAGATCAATCGATCCTCCTGTAAGTTCTTCAAATAGAAACTATTTGATTTTCCCCTTCCACAGGTAGGCTAAAAGCAGATAAGTAAGTAACAATAATAAATGAATAACAGATAGGGATATAAAAGTTTAACACCACAGGGATTATACTGGTTCGCCCCTATCTTGGAACTACGTTCAGTCTTCTACGGAAAAGCAGGTTCAAATATAGTTAGGAATATTATAATGGAAATCTCACTCAAGATATTGCTTGTAAGCACCCTTACAATGGCTACCTAGGATTACACAATTGAAAATATCCTAACTAAAACCTACGGGATACAAAATCCTTTTTCACACACTACCCACAACCACTCATCGTCCAACTTACCTGTAGAGATAAGGTTCATTTTGATACTGGGTACATACCTAACATCTCGCAATAATAACTCAGTCYCACTATCGGTCCAATCCCTTTAGTCTTGGAAAGCCTTCCACTCCCCATCCTCACGTGGCCGTGATTGCCTCTTCTGAAAGATATGAATAATCTTCTATTTGAAGATATGTGTACTGAAGCTGCGCTGTCTATTACCCACTCCGATGAATGGTTTCCTGTTTCTGTGTTGTTTTCAACACAGACGAGGGTATCGTCTACAACTGCATTTGACTCTGCCATATA